ATCCACTTATCTTACAAGTTGCCCTCCCGCACTAATCCATCCCTGCCCGGACCGGACTTCGACCAGGAGTCTTCACACCTCAACAATAGATACCTTTCCACTAGTTTTGCCCCTCTATCACGGCCGCTCGTCCTGTTAATTGGTGGCAAACTTGTGATTCAAAAATACCCCTAGCCAGATGCCCGAACCCGCTATCCTCGAGGACCCTTGTGTTGCGCTGGAAACCAACATGGTATATATAGGCGCCGTCACGGTGGAAAGCGGCCGAATGACCCTGTTCCAATAAAAACCGCCTAGAGAACCATACCGCGTGGTGGGTGGTCTGTAGAAGTAATACGGGGAAATCACGGTAGTCCGCAACGAAAAGGGAAAGGGCAATCAACCACAGGTTGTGCACTGCGAGGGCTCAAGCCATCTACATTCGCATCTACAGTGGACTTCTATCTCTTGCGATATTTGGGTTCCGTTTTGTTTTTTCAATACTCCTGTTTCCATGTTGATGGCGACTAAACTTGGGGGCCTTTACTTCGTACCGAGGAAAATCGGCACTTGGGCACCGGGATGTTTGTCACTTGCTCGGGCTCGTCTACTATGTAGAGACCTAGGATCCTCTCTCATAGTTACCCGGGCGCCAATATAGATCTACGTCCCTCACCAGGGGATCGACTATCATCCCTATCGATTGTACCGTTTTTTTGTTTTCCTCTCTGGATTCTCGGTGACGTATAGGTCTTCTACTAAATTCCCCTAGCATAGCATCTAGTTAGGCATGATAGCTGCGTTGCTAACAAAGCTGGATTCATAGCCACTCACTCGTGAATACAACTCAAGCAAGAGAGGATACAATAGGGCATTTGTTGGATATAATAGGCTGCATGCAGAAAGGGGGTTATTGCTTGGGGCCCGTTTGGATACAACCGTTCCATTCCGTTACACCATACAAATTGACTGCTTCGAGACGGAAGCACGAGTCTTTTTATATGGTTAATCAATGTATATTATATGGGAAATGGTCACAGAACGGAACGGTTGTAGCGTTGCCAAATAGGCCCAATGTCGCTCAGCTTTGCCGGTGGAGCAGGTTTCTTGTGTTCTTTGAAAGGTTTCTTCAGGAAATAATACCCTAAGGGAAAACGATCTTGTTTCCCACTTTTTACCTTTGAACAAAACAAACGATCTTCTTCGTCTAAATGTGACTCTTATCTCTCCTCTCCTCCCCTCATGTTCTCATCTCTGCTGAAGCTACCCCCCGCACTTCTCTTCTCACTACTCCAACCACTATTTCCGCTACCTTGATCCCACTCTTGACGAATCTCCTCACAAACACCGGATTCCCACTGCCGCCACCTCTGGTTCTGAAATCTTGTTGCACTTAGACAGTACCTCCTTCGACGGCATTGGCGACGCGACCGCAGATATTCCCAGGGTGATGGATAATAGTATCTTTGGCTTTGCCATTATTACCCTATCCATATACCGGCTTGGGGGGACAGGTGCGGTATATATCCCTGGTGTCGTTGGAAGAACTTTTCCGGTCATTTCCGCAGTGCACAGGACAGAATAAAAATATCACGAGGGGTCCCTGAGCCAGAACTGGCCATGTGAATTCAAAGCCCCCGTGCTGTCGCTCTCTCTTCGCTTAGATATGAAACCCCCATCTAGGAAACGGGTCACGGTGAAACAGCATCACTACCCGCGGCCAGAACCGTGGATATTGCACGTTTCCGAGACTGCAGTGCATCCTGCATATTTGGGGGGAGTACAAGTACAGACCCTGGCGTGCTTGTAGCGGTGAACCACGTGGACAGATTCTGGGAATACAAACGAATGAGCTCGAACTCTGCCGTACCAACATGCGGTAACAATTATAGCTCCAAAATATTGGTCTTGTGCCGAATGGGGATGCTGTACGCAAGATAACTGCACTTGTACAGTACCGTCCTTCCTTGCACAATTCTTTCCCTCCCTTCCCACAATATCCCTTGATGGCACCAGCCTGCGTGGAGCCCAAACAAGTGAACTGAAGGAATGGGAAAAATTCATCACTATACCCGACAGGCGTCTCTCCACATAGTTGTCCGAGACCTGCGATTTATCTGAAAGCCAAGATGCCCTTCTGCTCCGTTTTTTGTTGTTTACTCAATGTTGAGCCAGCGCAGTTCCGGTGGTGTATCCCTGAGCACCCCATATCGTTCGTGGTGAAGAGGTGACCTATGAATAAGGCATGCTAACTTTTGCCTAGATATATGGGGTGAGGTTAGGTGTTGATACATCTCAACAGCAAACAAGCGACTCCAATACGACAGCCTATGCTTTTGGGCAATTCGTGCAAGACAAAGTGGCCTTCAAGGGGGGTCTCAGAGACCTAGGTAGAATGATTCGCGGTCTTCTGTTAGCGGCAGGCTCGATGTTCACGTTGCGTGTCAGGCAAAAGCGTATCAAGGTACATTTACTCGAGTACGGTACAGGTGATCTCACCCCGGGTACAGTAGTTGGTGCGCATGGGGGTCGGACGGGTGCTTCTGGGGGGCAAATAGCGGTAGCGGTGAAGTACTTCTTTGATAGAAGTGCTATATCATGCCACATCTTCTTGTAAAAGTCGAGTTACGAGTAGCCCTGGGGAGATCTGCTCATTTGCTTTTGCTGCTGGATTAAAGTGTGGCAATTTGGGGGTCATTTTGCCCCCCGGTTGGCTTGGTCACTGTGAACGTCAAGGGGCTCTCCCGAGAAGATAAGGTAACTTAGCCGAGTACGGTATCGTATCGTAGTCTATTGAAACCTACGGCCTGTGGGTGAGGAATGGGAAGAATCATCAAGGTTTTCATTGCGCTCTTTTGCCTTTTCCTTGAACTAATATCTGTCGTCTCCGTTGATGATTGCTGCGAAAACGTCGAGATAGTATTTACTCTGTCCTCACACGTGCGAGGAATATGAATGACGTGAGCGCGGCCTGCAGTCCTGAAAAGCCACTCCCAGGAGATGAGGGAGTCGAAATAGGGTATGACAGTGCAAGGTTCTAACTTACCACAGCTCTCGTATTTCGGGCGTATGACCGTATAATCACCAAAGAAGTGCTGACCTTTAAATTTACATGTACCGGCAGCGGTAGGGTACTTGTATTATAAAGCAACACCAATGCTTTTCAGGCGACACCGCACCATCCCCTTCTCAACACGACATAACACGGAGGGGCACAGTCACGAGGATCACTCATAAAAAATAAAGAGAGATTCTGTCTAAAGGCATGAAATCACAAGAGTCCGGGGAATCATCAGGAGGACCTCGTATTGGGACTCGCGACAAAGTCAAAGTCGCCCTACCAGGTACGGTACTCGAGTATACCAGACCGTGCATTTCTCCGAGAAATATCGGCAGGATAGGAGTAAGCTTCCCGCGAAAGCACGGGTGCGCGATCCGGTAATATCCTCAAAGGATCATGGTCTGTCTCAGATCGGAGAATATTTACTTTTTGCCATCTCGGAGACGGCAAACCAAATTTAGTTTCGGTTGAGCGCTGCTCCTTACCTAGCTCATCTCACCTCCCGTGTCTCGGGTGAGGGAGGGTACCCGGAGCGGTGCCATGGCAGCGTATGATAATACAGTAGCGTGCGGAGGCATGATTCGATGCTGAATAGCACCGACGGCGGCGGTGGAGACGGGAATCTATATTGCACAGGTAATTTGGTGTCACCAGCGCAGGTACTGTACTTGTACGAGTACAGTACAGAATCGAAAAATTTGGTAACAGGTGCTTCAAACTACCGTATCATCCTGTACTAGTACGAGTACCTACTTGAGTACAGTACTATGCATGAGCGCGAGGGTGTTGTACTGTATCGTACTTGTGGAATAGAGACGGCATTACCGATACTTGCAGAGTTTATCGCTAATCGTGCTGGAACGCAGGTTGTGCGGAGCTCGGATAATGGTGGGGTTTCCCGGGCTATCCATTTAATTCGCTGTTAATCTTCTCGCAGGGTTTGGTGCTCGAGGCCAATGGCCAAGATGTCAACTTTGGTGGGCATATCCGGTGTTGTAATGGTGGGGAAGTGATAGCTGGAATTGCTGGGATAAGCTGGATCGCAGCAGACAAAGTGTCAACGCCCCTGGGTGCCACAGAGGAGGAGGTCTGGCTGAGACCTTCACGCCTTATCAGTGGGCCAGGTTGAATGGTATGATGTGGTTCTATTCCCACCACAATGTCCATAAATTTGCTACAGAAGTATGGTGCGTGTGCGTGCAAGTAACCCGCCCTCCTCTGCAAGAGATTTCAACCAACGGCCGCGGAGTCTCGGTGCTCAGGCCGAGGGAGAGAAGAGGAATGGCCATTTCCTGGTGTAAGCCTATGCACTCGTATGGTGAGGGTCCTCTGCAAACAGAACATGCGGACATTCATTGAGGCTTGGTAATAGTATGTGAATGTTCCGAGGACGGACTTCATACAGGTTAATTAACACCTGGGCAATTGCGCAATAACTGTCTGTCCTGGGAAATCCATGGTAATTAACATGCCCGGACATTCTCTGCTTCCATCTGAAGGCTCAACCCATTTTTAAACCCAGGTGTCTTCATGAGGACTTGAGGTAAATTCTCGTGGGAATGGTTATTAAAAATCCTTTGGGGATGGAAGTTGACCTATATTTTCTTGGCAAAGCATTGCTGTCAAGGACGTTCCTCGCAATAACCCCTCCTCACCCCTCCAAAGTGGTGCATCTGGGTCGGAGCCGGCACTATCATACAGCTACTTTTTCCATTGGATTCGTGTACTGGAGTAAGCAAGGTGTAAGCAAGGAGGCAAGCCCCAAATTATTACCGGATAAAGTTTCAAGTAGTGTCCGCATGACTCGAGTGGAATTCTAGATCAACCGTTTAATTTAATTTCCCTAGTTTTATTTTTGTCATCATTCCCCTTTAGCTTTTACTCTACCAGGTCTTTGTGGTAGAGAGACACACGCCCCCTACATCTCCCCACAAATTTCTGCCGAGACGAAAGGTCCGGAGGAGTGTCTCTTTTGGGAGGAATTCTTATGCATGTTTTTGCACGAGGAATTCCACGAGTGCGCGGGAGAGGGGAAATAGGAGAGAAGAGAGGGGATTGGAATTGGATCGAGTTGGGGCACCAGTGAGTTCCTCCTGGATGGTGGTATGGATTCAAGTTCAAGAGCACTGTACTCAAGTATCGCCATTATAGTACCGTTGTCATGAGAAGGGGAGGGAGGGGAGAAGGAGCGGGGGGGGGGATTGAAGTGCCACCGGGTGCTGCTGGATTACATGTACTTTCTTTTTGCAATCACCAAGTCACGATCAGGGTCTTGCTTATTTGCATGCTGGCTATTGGATTTACGTTTCAGGGGTTAGTTCGGTTTTGTATAAATACCTTGAGATATCCGCTATTTCTGGCGTTTTTATTTCTCCATCGATTACATCGAGAATCCCAATTGGTAAAACCTCGCGGAACATAAATTTTCAATATGGTCGGGCTCACGAGTGTTCTGCTGCTCGTCGGCGCTGCTAGTCTTGCTGCTGCTGCTCCTACAGAATTGAACATTAGACAGTCTGGTGCTTCTACTACTAGTCCTCCTTGGTATCCTGCTCGTGAGTTTTCCCCCCCTTCGTTGTTTTGCTTGGTTTTGTTTTGTTTCGTTTTGTCTGTCACATTTGGAAGCTTTTTTGGGTTGCTGATATGTTGGGGAAAAATAACAGCTAAGGGTGGAACTGCTGCATCATGGGCGACTGCGTACGCTAAAGCTCAGGCCCTCGTCTTGCAGATGACTCTGTTAGAGAAGGGTTTGTACAGCCTTGGTATTCTAGGTGGATTGGATTGGACTGATGGGCTTTAGTTAATATCACGACTGGAACTGGTTGGGCAATGGGTCCCTGTGTAGGAAATACCGGCCCAGTACCACGTCTTGGATTTCCCTCGCTCTGTCTTCACGATGGCCCTTTGGGCGTTCGGTTTGCCGATAAGATTACTTCATGGCCCGCTGGTATCACTATTGGAGGTATTTCTCGATTGCCTCTCACTGTTCTGATTTCAGGGAGTCTAAATCTATGTAGGGACCTGGAATAAGGAGCTCTTCCACGCGCGCGGTGTTGGTCTCGGATCCGAGTTCCGCGCAAAGGGTGTCCATATTGCTCTCGGTCCCGCAATGGGCCCTCTTGGTCGTATGCCTGCTGCTGGAAGAAATTGGGAGGGCTTCGGATCGGATCCTTATCTCCAAGGAATCGCATCTGCGGAGCATATCAAGGGAATTCAGAGCCAGGGGGTTGTTGCTACTGCTAAGCATTACATTGCCAATGAGCAGGAGCATTTCCGTCAGGGACCCGGTGCTATTTCATCGAACATTGATGATAGAACTCTTCACGAGGTTTATCTTTGGCCTTTCCAGGATTCCGTCAAGGCGGGTGTTGGTGCCGTCATGTGCTCTTACAACCGTGTCAACAATAGCGCCGCATGCCAGAACTCGTACCTGCAGAATGGTATTTTGAAGGATGAATTGGGATTCCAGGGTTTCATTATGAGGTGCGTTCACAGCTTCTCTTTTCCAGTTTGAAGCTGATTCCAGTAGCGATTGGCTGGCGCAAATGAGTGGCGTTGCATCAGTCTTGGCTGGAATGGACATGACAATGCCCGGTATGTTTAAGAATTCACCCGGAAATGAACGCTTTACTAACTTGATGCAGGTGATGGTCTGGTTTGGGATGATCGGCTTTCTCTCATGGGTCCAAATTTCACTACGGCTGCTCTGAATAGCTCCGTACCTTTGGACAGAATTGACGATATGGTTACTCGTATTGTTGCGACCTGGTATAAGTTTGGCCAAGATGATGGCCACCCAGAACCCAACTTTAGTTCATGGACCAAGAACACCACCGGTCTGTTGTACTATGGATCAAACGAGCCCCCATATGCCATCGTCAACAAACACGTTGAGGCTCGCGGTGACCATGCGACTCTCGCGCGCAAGATTGCTGCCGAGGCTATTGCCATGTTGAAGAATGAGGACGTCCTCCCATTGCAGAAGCCAATGAAGGTCGGCGTTTATGGAAGTGATGCTGGTCCAGGTGACGGACCTAACGCTTGCCCCGACCGTGGATGCAATCAGGGCACCCTTGCCGTCGGGTGGGGAAGTGGTGCCACAGATTTTGAGTACTTGATCACTCCTCTTGAAGCTATCGAAAAGCAGGTTGGCACCTATGGGGGTCAAGTCTCTTCAGTCTTAAACAACACTAAGCTTGACGAGATCAAGGCCGATGCTAAGAAGCAGGATATCTGTCTCGCTTTTGTCAACGCTGATGCCGGCGAAGGCTATATCTCATGGCAAGATGTTAACGGCGATAGGCCGAATCTCAAAACCCAGCTTGGGGGAGATGATTTGATCTCAGCTGTTGCCGAGGCTTGCAAGGCCACTGTCGTTGTGGTTCACTCCGTCGGCCCTATCATCATGGAGGACTGGGTTCGCTCTCACAAGGTTGACGGTATCCTCTGGGCTCATTTGCCTGGCCAAGAAAGCGGAAACTCACTCGTCGATGTTCTATGGGGTGCTGTTAACCCTAGTGGAAAGTTGCCGTACACCATCGGAAAGAGCTTGGAAGACTACGGACCAACTGCAGGTGTCCTCTACGAGTCCAACGGAAACCCGCCACAACAGGACTTCACTGAAGGTTTGTTGATTGACTACCGCTACTTCGATAAGAAGGATATCACCCCTCGCTATGAGTTTGGTTTCGGCATGTCTTATACCACCTTCGAGTTCAGCGATCTCAACATTGTCCGCACCGGATCGATGGAGCCTCTTCCTAAGCCTCGCCCTGCTCCCGAAGTTACTCCTCCAACCTACAATTCCACGCTCCCTCATCCTTCTCAAGTCGGATTCCCTCCTGGGTTCACCAAGATCAACCGCATGATCTACCCTTACCTTACTAACACCAACGTGACTGTTGGACCCTACCCATACCCTGATGGTTACTCCACTCCTGCCCACAAATCCGAAGCCGGCGGTGCCGAGGGTGGCAACCCAGCACTCTGGGAGATAGTCTACACCATCACCCACACTCTCAAAAACACTGGAAAGGTTGCCGGAGCGGAGGTATCTCAGCTCTACGTCAACTACGGATCCAAGGACACTGTTAGTGAGTAGCAATTGCCCCTTATATATATAACATTGTAATTTGGCACTAACAATGCATTCAGAATTCCCCGAACGAGTCCTCCGTGGCTTTGAGAAGGTCTTCCTCGAGCCTGGAGAGAGCAAGACAGTCACCTTCAAGCTCACTAGACGCGACCTGAGTTACTGGGACGTTACTAAGCAAAACTGGGTCATCCCATCCGGAGGTTTGGGCGTTTGCATAGGTCAGAGCTCGAGGAAATTCCACCTTCGAGGAAACCTCAGATACGGCTATTAAACCAACTACTTTACCCCTAGCGGGACGGATTGCAGGCAAAAAGTAAAAGGGCGTGGTAAACTTCTTGTACATAGGTAATTTTTTCTTCTTGGTCGGTCGGGCGTATTGTATCATAGTGTACCGTTTCGTACACATTAGATTCATTCTGAGCAGGGGGACGTTAATTGGGACCAAAGCAAATTTCTACCGAATGATGTTGCACGTCGCGCATGTGAAGGCTTGTGGGTAATGTGCCTCGCCCACAATATATCCCGAATCGCCATGCCACGTGATGCAGTGTGCCACGCAATGCGATATCCTGGATGATGGTACTGGTACCGGTACTGTTTTTGCATCACGTGTATTGCTTTGCAGCAGCATAGCATAATAGATCGTACTCGAGCGCAACCTGTAGCCCTGCCCAGCGGGAGAAACCAAGGCACTTGCGGACCGTGAAGGGATCGACCCCACCTATACAAATTACGCCGATAGCCAGGTTGCTGAGTGGGGTGTAGTTGAATGGAGCCGAACGCGTTTGCGCTGCTGTAATGTGTGGGGTACTGGGGGGAGGGGGTATGATGGTGCGTGGGCATGTCTGAACACGTGATATCACTCGGTCTCTATCGTTTCTGAGGTATGATACTCGAGTTACTATAACCCGCCAATTCCAAGTATTCAGAGTTCGGCCCACCGAGCTTCTGAAAACCAACAAACCTTCGGGTCTTGGTGGGTGGGACTTGTGCAGAGGGGAGGGCGTGGATGCGTTAGACAGGTGGTCCATGACAGATTCGTTCCTGCTTTTGGACAGGAAGAGAAAACACACACCGCCATAGCGGTGAACCTTCATTACAGGAAAAACACATGCAATCACGGTCATGACCGCTCTAGCAGACACCATGACTTCCAAATACCCGCTGTATCCCACCAACTACCAATTGGGATTACATGCCCATCTCACCATCTGTGGAGCTGATAACCTTGTGACAAGCTCTCAAGTTTGCCCATCTTGCCTGTTGTTTCTTTTCTTTTCTTTTCTTTCCTGCTATCCATCCGACTGTCTGTTTCCTCTTTGAAGAATATATACAATATTCGGATATCTTCGCCTGTGAGACCAAGTACGAAGGATCACACTCCATGACTCGAACCAGCCCTAAGCAACTTCTTTTTATCCACTAAAGTTACAGAATTATTAGAACTTTCACTACTCCTTGACCTCTGCTTTAATGACTAGGGGGGCGGCAGTCTGGAAGCCGGAAAACAGACCTCATATTGGCTCTACCCACCAATGCTTTGGAATAGGACGACCTAGACGGTGAGCTTCTCACAGCCGATATTCAAGACTTGTGCGAAGCCCTCTTCTTGGTAGCCCCACCAAACATCGGATATCTGACTCCAAGGGGAACCCTCGCTTGTGGACTCTGATTTTGGTCGAGTGTATGCATGGGAAAAAATGGACGAGAAAGAAAGGGAAAAAATTGAGCAAAGCTTTATCCATCTGGATCCGCAATTACGCGCCAACGCTCAATGCGCCCTCCGGCGCATCATATATTCGTAGAACAGACCGCTCCAGGAACCGGATCCATCCCACCAAGCGGCAAAGTGAGAACAGAATCAAAAAAACGGCAGGAGAAAGAGGAAAATGGCCATTTTGCTGATCGGGATGGCCTAAGTATGGTACGACGACGACCTAACAATAATATTATGGTACCTTGCGTTTATAACATATATCATACCGCTGGCATGCTCAATACATCATGTAATACTCAACTCTCTAAGAAACTACGGTAGCACTTTATCCTGACTCAACTATTAGTTGTCACTCACTATATGCTTATAATAATTCATCATACTTTCATAACGCCAACGGATAATATCTTATTAAAACATTTTACTCTTTCGTATTCCAACTTCCTGCAATATCATGATCAAGGCCAAATTCAGTGAGAAAATATAACTAGCCAATTCTCCTTATCCTATTACAAATAGGAATATTAAACAGGCATAAAATATATCTTAACAATCAATTATAGGTTATTCATAAATTTTTATTATGATTAATAAATACTGGGTGTCATACCTGAATGTGTCTAACAATAAATATTTTCTCCTCGTGTCTAGTATTTCCATAACACGATAATTAAAGTTGCGAAAACCAGATAAAAAACATTCTAGGAATAGCATAGTAGAGGGTTCAAATATAAGAGCTTCAGGGTATAGTGCTAGTTTCTTAGAGGAGAGAGTATTACATGTTGCATTGAGCATAGAACACGTCATAAACACAAGGGACCATATAACAGAGGAGAAACAGGGTCTGCTCGAGTATGACAAAGAACAGAGTTAAACATTTAAGGCTCAAAATCTGTGAACAGCCCACACTATAACTAAGTCTATGGCCAATCATGGAAAGGCCATGCGATACTACTCGAGTGCACTTCATTCATATTGCAAATCCTTTTCAAGCCCATTAGACGGCACCAAGGATGTAGGAAGCAAACCAAGTACGGTATATTACTTCTAAAATCCTTAAGATCTCAAAGACTTCAAATCGATGAGTACTCTGCGATAGGACATGTATGTAAACTCACAACCTATGATGAAGATGTTGGTCAGTTCATAGGATAGGGGGAGGATGAACCGGTTTTTTAAAGAAAATTAAAAGTGTCGATCAGAGGTGACTGTCCTGGCAGAGTCTCTATCAACTATTGCTATAGCATTGGCAGTTATTATAATAATTCTCAATTTCAAATTTTTTCTCTCATTTTCTCTCTTGCGCATATTTCTCCTGTCTGTGTAACACAATGTACTTGTAGAGAAGGGGAAAGGTCGGTCTTTGAAGAGGGTACATAACCATTGAGATGCAGAGAGCTAAGAGTCAGAAATCAGAGCTAACGGCTAATTATCAAAAAACTGCCTATTCTATCTATACAAAGTTCGCCAGTAACCCAACCACCCCATAGCCGTGCAAACCACAAAGAAAAGAAAGAGTTCCATTCCAAACACCTAATATCTTACTATGACTTGTTAGCCTCCCTCGCCGTTGCCGCCCTATTAAACCGTCTTCTTCCACGCAGCCTTTAATCCGATCAAACTGCTGACAGTCCCGGCCAACCCCAGGGCTCCCTCGTCGAAGTTGACGTATCCCAAACTAGTCGCGGGGATCGTTATGTCACAAACATCGGAGATTAATTGAGTGACAGCGGCTTGCCTCTCTTTGACAAGCTTCTCACTCTCAACCTTCCCTTCGGCAATGGTCTTGGTTAGACGCTTCTCCTTCTCATTGACCCTGTACATGGTGTACGTTCCACCAATGACAGAGAACAAGATTCCCAAAAACCATGCCCTTGTGGCCTCGGAGGCCATTTTCTTGCTGGCTTTGAATTTGTAGATTCCCGCAGAGTCGAGGAAACATATCGAATCAAGGGTAAGATAAGTAAAGTAACCGAGTTGACGCCCAACAGTGCAGTAGCGGATCACAGGATCCATCGACTTGTTATCCATTGCCTGTATTGGAACTGTTAGCTGAGAAGTAGGGGCCGAGTTAAGACGGCTTAGGGTCGTTTACCAGTGATGCGGCTTTGAGATGCTCAATGTTCTTTCCAAGACGCATGACCCTTCTAGCCTGCGAAAATTGCTTCTTGAGAGCTTCGAAAGGAGCGATAGACGAGGCACTGTATCCCTTGCGGAGCAAGTAGAAGGAGAGGAAGCGAGCAATAAACTGTAGCGTTCGCAGGGCCTTGTCACGACCAACTGCCCAAGCGACGTATTAGAATGACGGCACCAACCGAGAAGTAAACATGCGGATATCCAGTCAAAACCTACCGGTGGTTGCGACGAAGCGAAGGTAGTGCGCAACGGTAGGATGGTATACGAGATTGTCAGCAACCATTTTGACGGTGGCGATTTACGATGTTGACTTATGATGGTGGTGGTGTAGGTTTCTACCGGGAACTAGTTAATCTAGGTACAAATCAGAAGTACCGCACAAGGACAGAATAAGGTGTCCACCTACCGTACAGCGAACCCGTCGCACGTCCAGACTGTATGAATCTCGTCAGGGGTATAACAGATGACTAGGCAAACAGCAAGCAGGGAAGAGGAGCTGTAAAAGTTAGGTGAGAGGAGCAAAAATTGAGAGGAGACAGAGGAGGAGGAGGAGGAGGAGAGGAATGAAGGATGAGAGGTTAAAGGGTAGTAGCAATCATGAGGGAGGTGCTCGGCACGTGAAAGAGGGTGCGGTAGCAGTACCGGTATTCCTAGTGTTAAGGAGGGTGATTGGTGAATGGTGGGGCCCTTTTCAATCCTTCCTTCCTTCATTTAACGACTACCGAGGAGCCAGCGATGCCAAGTTTTTATGAATGCCGCACCAGTTTGACATGGCGGAGAGAAGCATTGACGCAGCATCGCGTATCATGGATCGCAGAGGACGGCAGATCAGTACGGCTAGATATACAGTGGACTTGTGGTATTGGACATCGCCGGTCGGCATCCGGCCTCGGCCGAAGTGCGCTCTCAAGAAGCCCTTGACCGACAATAATGATGTTCGAGCACACTTTCAATGATAGCATTGAAGTCTTTCCTGCCCAGCGCAGACACAAGAGCTTTCGCCCTCACTAAATCGATCTCTATTTACAAACTCTGAGCATAGTGCCCACTGCTTGTGGCGGCGGTGTGGAATACAACAGCTCTAGTCACCCGCTTTATCGCCGATTGCCTACTGGAACAAGGAACCATCCAGAGTCCCCACCATCACAGCGAGTATGCATCGCAAGTATGATAGCGATAGCCAGCTGCTCAAGTCAAGCCCCAACCTATACTTGCGCATACTGTACCCGTATCTATGCCAACACTGGGTTGAATACCCATCACCACAAAATACCCTTCCACCCATATAATAAGTGCCGTACCATACACTTCTACAATGCCACCGGCGGAGCACAAACACCTGAACCAAGGATATATAACAAACCACACATTTACAAGTATCCCCCCCTTCATCTACCGGGGCTCAGGCGCGAGCCACCCCATCACTCCGGTCTAGCCTCCATTCTCACCACTCCCCCCGCCCCTCCAAAGAACGCTTTCTCCGGCCTCCTATCCCCCCGCCAAAAAATACCATGCTCCACAACGCCCACAATCCCCTTCAAACTCTCAGCGAGCTCGACAACAGCTCCACTCGTGGCGAGTGGCGGAAACGGCGCATCGACAATAAAGTTTCCGTTATCCGTGACGCACGGCCCCAGCTTCGCCGGCGCTCCATCTCGCACTCGTGGATCCGTAGAACCCAGCGAGCGTAGCTCTGAGAGGACGTATGGCACCGCGCTGGGGAACACTTCCAGCGGGATGCCGTGGCGGTAGGAGGTTAGGAGGGCGTGAGATAGTTTCGTTTGGTCTTTTATCGTCTGCCCTTTAGTCTCCGCCAAAGGCTACTCGTAGTTGAATAGGGGAGTTAAGTGATGCACGAACCGGCAACAACGATAAAAACCTTCGAGCGAATCGCCACAAGTTTCTCCAAGAGCAGACACCCGCCACCGCCCTTCACGCAGTTCAACCACCCGTCCACTTCGTCAGCACCATCGAACGCAACACTGATCATCCCTGGCACGTCCTCCAGCCGCACCATGCGAAGCCCGGCATTGCGCAGAAGTTCCCGAGACTGGTGCCCCGTCGGTACAAAGCCCGTGTTGCTAGTCCTCCCGACCGATAATTGCCGGATCCGATCAACGACATAGAACACCGTACTGCCAGACCCGATGCCAACATACCCCGGTGCATTGCTGAAGTGCGCGTCCACTGCAGCGTACGCTGCCGCACGCTTACTGGCTTCTACGGAGGAGAGACTGGTGATCTCGCGTGCTCCTGGATGCGCTCGTCGCGGGCAGGAGGGAAGGGGGCTCGGAAGGGGGCTACGGCGGGGAGGATCTATTACGTGAAAGGAGCGGAATTGGCGGGGTGGTGGAGGGACTTGTCGTGGTGGGGGTGTCAACGAGAGTCTGAGACTTATTGCGCGTCGCATTTCAGCGGGGCGGTAAGGTCGTTGTCGTCGTGGCGCTGGTGGGACTTGTGGTGGTGAGAGGGTACACGAGAGTCGGTTGCGCCCGAGATTTATTGGGAGCCGCATTCGTCGTGGCTCTCGGTTGAATGACATGTTGACCTGAATGTTTCCTATCGCATCGCACTCGAGCATTCATTGGACACTTCTTGTGATATAATATGCCTTAAACAAAGGAATCGAATTGGATCGGATTGATCGAGCGCAGTGTGACCAGTCCCGACCCCCCTTCACCCTGTTTACAAAGAGGTCTTTGTGGCCTGATGATGGCACAAACAGCTGGGAATCTGCCATACCGAACCTGTAGAGTACCGGTACTGTAGATGGACACTCGCGCAGTACGTGCTCATCTAAAGCCATCCATTCATTAAAATATTTGATCAATCTTTCGAAGCAATACCAAATTGTGTGAACTGTGGGACTGGAGATAGTCTCTTGGGGTGCTTATCGTCGCCATTCCGAAACTGCCGTATACCGGTACCCCAATCACTACTGTGCTATGACCGCAAGGCGGTCACCATAACAATCACCTCCCCCCCATTGACACATTCGTTCGTTCACAAACATACCGGTACGGTACTTGTAACGCACCAAGACACTACACCACACTTCAAAAAAGCAACCGGCAATAATTCGATATCCACCCTCCTATATTATTGCTAAACGCGGCAAATCCCCCCCCCTCTCTCAATAATTATTACTTCTCACTATAAAAACAAAAACAAAAAACTCAAATCTTCCTCTCCACCGCCTCCACAACCTTCTTTAGTGCCCCTGCGTCCCTAACCTCACTCTCCCAATACACCAAATAATTCCTAGCAGCAGTAATCGCATCCCTCCACCCCTGCGGCATCTTCATTCCAGCCATCTTCGCCGCCCCTAGAACAAGGCTATTCCCTGTGACCGCACGAATCGTCAACCAAGCGCCATGGTGCCGATGGGTAATCACATTGCTCAGGATAAAATTCGCGTCGATTTCCAATCCTTTTCTCGCATACGCGTTCATTCTCTCTGCCTGGGTCGGTGGGGTCAGGGTGGGGTGGTGTATGAGGTGGTATAGGAAGGGTCTGTAAAGCATGGAAACGATCCACCAGTAGCGCATGCGGAGGTACTGCAACCGCTCGTCCTCACAAGGAAGGCGTGAGTCTACGGGGAACTTTAACACGCTGGGCAGGTAGGAGTACCAGAGGTCTAACTGGAGTTCGAACTCATACGCGCTCGAGAGAAGGTCTTCGGTTTTGATGGGGCGGTGCGTGTCTTCGAGGCCGGCGGGTGTAGAGGCTCTCATGGATGAAGCGTGCGCGGGTGGCGAGAGGGAGAAGGTTTCCGACATGCGGAGCTCGACCTTGCGGAGAGCGATTTCGGCGAGGTAGTAGAACCAGGTTAGTTCGTCTTCTCGGCGGTCTTCTGGGAGGGGTGGAGCGGTGGTTGCGCTGGCGCGGGGGGAGAGGATTTGTGCGCTGCGGGGCTGCTCGAAGAAGGAGTTGGAGGATTGGAAGGCTACCGAGGTGGAAATTTCACGGGGCGGAGAGGGGAAGGCGTGCGGGTAGTCGAGCTCGTTGAGGCCCGAGTGGGAGGTGGCTAGTTGAGAGCAGAGTTCTCTGCGCAGTCTGGTTAGCGCATTTGGAATTTATAGTGTCAAATGGTAAGATGCGTACAGCTCAGATTTCAGACAACTCCAGTATATCCGCTGCTCAAGATGTCGAGTAGGCTCGTTCGAGCATGAAGAAAACATCCCGCTGTTAGCGGTATCCGATACTCCGGACTTTTCCTTCCGATGCAGGTACCCCTCGCACGACACCGATGCTGCATTGAACATCTTCCACGCTGCAAATTGGTTCATGGTGTACATGTGGTATATCCCCGCCAGGAAGAGGCATTGCACGGCAATGAGCTTATTGGATGACATGACGATCCCTAGCCTCTTTTTTGCCGCCGAAAAATACCGCGCGCTGATTTCGAAGGAAGGATACTTTGTCGGTGTTTCCTTCAACGACGACATGTAAGGGTCATACGGCGCCGATACGGAGCCTAGAGCACATACGAGCAACTGCCCCCTTACTAGTCAGTCGGCGCCACTCTCCCTCTTTCCCATCGCATCTAGAGATGCGAAAATACTCACGACCAAACAACTCTTCCCCGACCACCCAAACCCATGCTTCTCAATCTCACAAACATAACTGTCCAGCACAGCCGAATCCAGTATCGGGTTCTTAGTATGCACATTCCTGAGGAATCTCTGCACAAGCGTCACAATCTCTCCCGGTGGCAGCCTCAGCAATTTTTCGTCATAATCGTACAATCCAGTTCCCCTGCGGTTTCCACCGTGTGCCTGGTACCCGTCCAACGGCTCGCTCTTTTCCATGCCTTTCCTCTCCTGCCAACCCTCACGCTCGTCCTCGTCCTCGTCGTCCTCACCGTGGGAATCCGCAAATACTGGTGCAAGGATCTCCTCCACGCAGAATTGTCCGTTGAATATTGGCCATTGGAGGAGGTCCTCGACACGGGATCCCGAGGCTGTAGCGACGGAGACGGGGAATATCTCGGAGGCATCTGGGGGCGGTTTGCTCCCCACGCTCTTCGGCGAGCTACCGCGTGCGGTGAGCGGTGGTAGGGAAGGTATTTGCACGGCGCCGCCGCTGGTTGTGGAACCCGAGGTGTGTGGGGAAGGGTGACTGGTAGGCGTGTGCTGCTGATTGCTTGAGCCCCGGTCTGAATCCAGCATTGCTTCTATCCTGGAGAGCTTATCCAGAATCGCCAATGAGGCGGCGTCGAATCTACCGCCCCATCATCTCCCATAATCAGCCTGCTTCCTTCTCCTGAACTAAAAAGGGGAGTTAAATAAATTTAAATAAAAAAAGTAAAAAAACGAAAAAAACATACGTAGCCAACTTTTCCGCCTCGTAAACACATTCCGCCCCCGTCTGCTTACAAAATCCACATTGCGGCCGCTGGTTATCGCATTTCGTCTTCCTCCCCCGACAAACCAGACACGCGCTCACAGCCCTCTTCCTCGGGTAATTCGCCGCAGACCTAGATTTATTCGAGATGGCATTGGACGAAGCATGCGCGCGTTTAACACCTGTACCAGTGGCTCCACTAACTGTCTTGTTAGCAACAACGGTGGTGGTGGCGGTGGTGGTGCCAGCAGTAGGAGTGGGCGTTGTTGACGTTGAAGCACCGGTCGACGGGGACCCCGAAGGCTGTAGGTAGCTTGAATCCATTTAAGTGAACCAGGGGGGTGGACCACCAACGTATAGCACGGTACGATAGGCACTCAGGCAAGCCAGGACGGACCCGACCAGACAGGCAAGAATGGAATGTGATCTGGTCCGTGTGTGATGTAAGGGCCCTCCTGTCGAGCGGGGGAATAATGTGGGGGGGAAGTTAGGTGATATCGTAGGTGCGTGGAATGGGTTTTAGTCTTTGTGTTGGATCCTGTTGCTCGTTGAGATGAGATTGACCTTCTGATGCGCACGGGGATATGGGAGCAATCGTCTGTTCACCCCCTTGCTGTGCCAATACTTGGGCAATTTATAAAGTATTCGGACGCTTTGTGCCAAGATCAGTACCCACCAAAGCCGAGGTGTCCGGACACTTTATAAATTGCCAGGTACCCCCCCACTTTTGCTTTTTCTTCTTCGATCTTTTCTTTTTTCCCCTTTCTTTTTCTTCCCTTAGGCTGGAGAGTTGGATAAATCATCCATCAGGGAATTGTAGGGCAAGCCAGGTTACTTGCCTACGTAACTTATGGATTGAATCGAAACTCTCATTGATGTGTGGGTTTTGGCATGATACGAGAGAGGGGTTGGGAAGGGTTGCTGTGAGATAATGTGGAGGAGGAAGAAAGTCTTCTACACTACCGGAAGTTACTGTACGAGTACTCGAGCACCGGTAGTTGGAGCACGTTTCCATAGTGGTTAACTTACATCCCATACCAAGATAATAAACCTAATTAAACGCCAACCAGATTTCGGTAGACTTCACTTCACTACAGTACGAGCGCTGTACGAGTAACTCTCACCCATATCCATCGTTCAGCGGCTGAAATTGTCATTGACATATGATACCGGTGGTAGGCCCTGTTCGGCACATAGCAATTGAAAACATGCACAAGTAAGGTCAGCTCAAGCCTACACAAGCTCCGGCAAGGGGTACGAGGCCAGGAACTGTCGTGGAGGAATTACCCAAAGGAGAAAACCGAGTGAGCACTACAGTATCCCTCCAACCCGCCTCCCCGGTTCTCACAAACTCTCATACTGTATGATAACCAAAGGCTCAATACCTCACTTCAGGTTGGATAAAAGAGGTGGAGGCATTACTCTCGCCTGTATTTAGTTTGTCTTCTTTGTCTGTCCTGATCGCGGATAGAGTGAGCCGTTTCATGATGGGCAGCCAAGCGAGGTGAGGGGTGGGGGAAGACCTGACCAAAGAACCTTGGAACACTAGCCCTCTAACATCACTGACATCTCTCGCATAGTGCCCCTTGCGTTCCAAGTATGATACGAGTACTCGTACAGTTTGCAGCGCCTACCCGCTATTAGCTTGTGTCAATCTCATCCAGAAAGTACTCGTAATAGATAGGCATTCAATGCATTAACTTATACCGATACTGGTAGGTGATCATCATTCGGAATCTACTGCTAGCGTTCAGGGACAGTGGGATATTCTAGTCACGTTTTTGATTCTGTGGAACTTTTTCTGACGTGCTGGAGCGAGCTTCGCTTGGCCGGACATCCACAGGGCTCTTCACTTCTTTCCGGGCACAATCGCTATATATCTTGATAGGATACAAATTATTCTCAAGTGCAGGGGGAATAGAGTTGTAGGTGAACTTTGTGTTTTTAGATTTCATAACCAAAACCAGATGATAGCTCCCGGTTTACAAACTATCATGATGCGGAATTTTTTGAAGTGGCTTTATATGGTTTCCGCATATCATACTTCGTCCATCCAACTCTAGCTAGCCCATCACGACCTACCACTCTTCCACTGCCTTCGTCCCCACCAGGAGTTCTTGCGCGGCCTCCCAAACCCTATCCAGCCCTATCGCACCCTCTCCACAAACATCCGTCCCACTCATGCTCACCCATCCCCTCAACTCCTTTTTCCCTGTTCCTCGGCTCCTCATCATATCATACGCATAACATCATACATCGACCATGAGGTTGCCAACTTTCCTAGAGCAACATATCCACCAGCTCTGGGCGGGGACCTGTCGAAATTTCGCAGTCCAAATACAACATCCATAGCATGATGGAATTGTGCGAAATAAACACTTCTTCCCGCGCGAGCCCAGGAGTCCACGAGCCTCCATGCGGGTAAACGAGACCAGTACGTTCCTACGAAAGCGTGGTATTTGCAGGTAGTATCGTTCTTGTTTTCTCGCGGGCTAATCTCGAGTGCCCCGAACAGTTCGTCTATCTCTCCGACTGACGGTATCTTGCTAGGATGCTTCCGAAGTGTTTCTGCCCGGCGCTGGTACTTTTCTATCCAGCCGCCGTTTTGTGTCATGGCCCGTTCGTCGCGATAACTGCTTATTAGCGGACTGTTGCATCAGTTCGGTAGCGGGTTAATGTTTTGGAGATCGTGTGCCCGTTGCTGGTATTTGCCGTTCCGGTGTCGGAGGTGAGCTAGCCTAATTCCTCTACTGGAGTTTCTAGGAACTTTTTAGCATGCTTGGCAGGGGGTGCGATTGGGGCTTTTTTTATAGCACGATGAGGCTTCGTATTGGGCGGGTACACGGAGGAAGTTGGCGGGACCGGGGAAGAGGATAGCACGCTTAAAAAGGGATATGGGGGTAGAGAGTTTGGGGGAATTGGTGCCATATCTTTGACAATATGTGGAGGATAGGAAGGGACTAACTCGACCCGCACCCTCCCCCATCAAGGCAACATTCTCTGGATTACCTCCGCGATCTCTGATATTCCCAGAGCCTGGAGTACATCGACCGCTCGCCCCCTCACACCAGCAATTCTCACGGACAAGGAGAACCTACCCAACTCATCTCAGCCCAGAAACTCCCAAACCCCAACTTAAAATTCACATCAAGAACAGCCCTTCGTCCAAGTGCATACTCGGAAAACTTCCTCAAATCACAGAGTACAGTATAAAGCTCGCCAGTCCTGTTCGCCCCGCGATGAAACCACGCTATCGTTGGCAACCACAAACCGTCTGCACCACCCTACCAATTGATGCAACAATGGTCAAATCTATATGCTTGTTATCGTGCCTGCGCTTGTGTGGATCGGGAACCGGCTGCATGGCAATGGTCAATACATCGATCGATATTGGTTTTCTTGGTGTCCGGGGGTTGGGGCGCAAGGGGGCCACGGGGTGTTGCGCTGAAGGGGTTTGCTCGGTAAGGTCTTAGAAGCGGCCTAATATACGCGCTTACGAGTCCCACAGCGCCGGGTGGGGGATTTGTGTGGTGTGCCGGTTATCCTTCACATGGGGGTTTTTAGTGTGTGGGCTTTGTGGATACCAACTTTCGGGGGTTGGAGAGGTAGTGGTCGTGGAGGTAGATATTAATGATGGTTGGGTTAGGAAGATAAATGTGTTGGACCACTTGGTCACAGTGACTCAGTAGGCTTTGCCAGGCTTGCGGAGGTAGAGGTCTGGAGGGCCTTTCTAGGATAACATGGCTTGCTGTATTTTGCTGGCTCACCGCACTTGAGCAGGTTACCGGTATTGCATTATTCATGCCGAATGGCAGTAGCTGGAGAAAAACTGTAGCTTTGAGATCTGGTGTATCATACGCTAGAGTCTTGTTGGGTATTGGGGTAGAAGGTGATGCGCTATTGGGTTCTAGGGAAAGGTCCACGCTACGTCCAATAGTATCACAATGATGTGAAATTCCTTCTGGCTGGGTTGGAGTTTTGTTTATCGATCCTGGTCTCCCCGGTAATGGCCCGAATCTGGTAATAGGTAGGCGAGTGACTTCATATGACGACACTATTAGAGCTCCAAGTGCTGTCGCACACCGATAGCTGCGCAGAGATGGTGCTAAATATCGTACACATAGGTCGCAGAGTGTTTTTCATGTTGAGGGGGCATCGGGGGTGCTGTGTTAAAATACGGTCATGGTCCAATACCCTCAGTTCTCTTCGCATATCTCACATCTCATTTTGGCAGAAGATATTACAGTATATTTCATATGTCGGGCGAGATTACAATATTTTGCTATCATAGTAGAGGAGGTCTCATTTCTGTAATTTCTAGATCTTTTAGCGGAAGCTTGATGTAAACTTTGGGTCTATGGTGGAAGACGTCAACCCCCACATCCCTGACAACGTGGGGAGGCCCCCACTTTCTTGGACTGCGATTTAATAGCCTGGGAGAGCGGTCAAGCAAATTTTGGACCAGGAAGATGCCAACCCCGACAAGCTAGACTATCATACAAGGGTGGGGACCGCCTCTCGTGGGTCCAACTAAGGGCCCGAGCTAGCACAAGAAACCCTGGAACCATTGGAAGGCTAGGCTGCTGGGCCGGGGCGCCGTGTATCATAATTATTAATAAAGGTGAATCTACTATTGGATGGTAGGATGTCAACCCCTGTAATATTATACTACAAAAATGCGGTTAAATACCACTTCCCTATGCATCTACTGATGGACACCAAGGAGTGGTGAATCTAATGCTAGCCTGGGAACCCCTAAGCCCAGCCTTCTCTGGGATCCGCGGGCTACGGGCTTCTTTCATCCTCTTCGATTGTTTGGCTGCCGATATCCGTTATCCCCGCATCATTCCTATAGTCGTACTTTGTTCTCTGGTTTCCACCCTCTTCTATACTTCTTCCCTACACCTCTGGGGTCAACCATATGGTCTTACCGCCGTCTCTTTCTTTACTTCTGGGGAGATTAGTAAACCGGACACCTGGAGCGATGCAACCAAAAATGGCCAAAAAAAGCGACTTTGACAATGAAATCCATAACCTCTTAAAGGGTTTCCAGGATTTGGGGGGCGGGTTCCTAAGTAACTGAGACACTGCAAACTAATCTAGAAGCTGATTTTTTGCATGTTCTCTTGCTCCCTTGATATCTCGGACTTACCAGCGTTTTGATGATATCCGGGTTCTTAACCATATCAAGAGTACTTACTCTTTCCTGTTCTTCTCAGTTTTTATTTCTGAGCTAGAAAATATCCCCGCGCGCAACTTGTCGTGTCTTTAGAATGTGGGGTATCTGTATGGCTTAGAAACCTCTTGGATGTTTGATGATGGGATCAAATAAAGAATTGATTATCTATTTCGGGAGGTTAGAGTATAGAGATGGGGGGTGGTTTCCTGTTTTATTTTTGCCCTTACTGCTTTTACCCCGTTTCATCAATCGTTGTTTCTATTTTAACTTACAAGTTCTCCTTTTCATGTGTGATATATCTTTTGATTTTCATATGTTTTCGATTATTTATTTCTCGGTTTTCTCCTCCCAATGATAGATGTTATTATTTGAACAATAGACTTAGGTCGGTTTAGAACCCAAATTACTACTCATCTATATCTCTGCCCTCCTTTCGGCGGAGTGTTCATATAAGCTTGCCCACT